AAAATCCTGAATACAACAGAAAACCTGTTGCGTGAAATTCTGTAAGTAGACGTTCCTTCAAGTACAATATTAAGTGAAACACCTCCCTTAAAACAGTTTGAAATATTAAAATTAGTTTTTCAATTTTATGTTTCCTTAATTTTAACTTAAGAAAGGGTAGTTTTTCCAAGTGTGAGGCATATATCTGTTCACCTGTTAAATAAACAAAAATGCCTGATGATTAAATGGTGTGTAAAATACAGAATGTACACTCACTGTAACTGTAGTTTTCTTGTCTTGGTGAAGGTCTCAGTTTGATGGAACATCAGGAGACAATGTTGAATAGCGTCAAAGATAGTGGGGTTGTGTAATTGCACCGTTTTGTTTCACTTGGAACGGCGCTTTCTTACTGTAACTTTTTACAGTAACGAGGAACATCACTTGTCCAGGAGCAGAGAGTACACAGTGGTGTTCCTTACTGCAGCTTATAGCCCAGTTCCACTGGGGAGTCTCCAGCTTGCTCTTCCATTCGCCAGCTTCTCATGCTGGGGAAATGGGACTCCCTGAGACACAGGAACTCTTCCTCGCAGACGCCTTCCGCAAGAAAAGAAGCAGCTATCCGAAACGGAGAGCACAGTGTAGGGAAAACTAGACCGGGTTGTTTGGAGAGCGATACAGTGCAACAAACTGGTATCATGTATACAGCTGTCCGTGTCAGTGTCGGGATTCAATCCCAGTTGCTCCGGGATTGCTCCGCCCCACCAAAAGACAAGGTCATCTATCACAGCAGAGTTTTACACTAACTAGTGTTTAGAAGGCGGTGGGGGGGGGTTAATTGTTTAGCTCCATGTATGATCCAGGTTACTTCACCTTTCAGTGGTCTTGAATTCTGCTCTTTCGGCATAGCAGTTCCTTGAATGTCTGATTAAAAACAATATGTTTCTATAAGTTGTAACGGAAACTTCACGGGATGTGGATAGGACTTATCTCAGGTTGATTTAATTGTAATAAAGAATGCAGGGGATTTTAGCTTTCTTAGCTCTGTGTGGTTTTAAAGAAAATGATGGTGGTCTGTAAATGTTTAATATAATAGTGAAATTAATGATTTCTGTAATTTTCTGTAAACACATTTCCTTACTATTGGAAGATCATGCTATCGTATAAACTTTGTATTATCAATTTCAAGAAACTTTCTAACAGTGTGGTAGCCTGCTTAGTTTGAGGGCGGGACCAGAAGAGATCGGGATCAATAAAGTCTAATCTCTACCAAATGGCGGTGTTACAGCAGCCCAGTCCAAGACAAGCAAAAATAGACATGAGTATAGACTAAAAATTCAAATAAAATAAAATAGGTGTGTGCAAAATATGATCATAGTCACTTGAAAAACAATAAAATATATGCAAAATGTGCATAGGTGTATACAGATTGAAAGTACCACAGTATAAACAGCATATTAATGCAGTGTCCAAAAAGTACAATAGTGCAACATGCTGGCAGTAGATGAGCAGATGAAGGGCTAACGGGACACGATTTGAGTCAGTGTTACACAATTCTCTGGAAAAGGACCATAGTTGTCCAAGCCTTGGGAAGCTTTTTATTAGTGCTCATTAGAAGTAAATGGGAGTACTCAAACTTGTTTTGTAAGGTTACAAAGATGCTGGCCAAAGGCCTAATTCAGACTTTCTCCTGTGGGCTGTGGGTTTAGGGTGGTACACTTACCTGCTGAAAAGTCTGAATGTTTTGGAACTGCTGAATCTGTAGGATTGCAAGACGCCTTATTAAAGTAGTTGACAGTTAAGCTTCTCTCTCTGGGTCATTTTAGGTTTTCTGGAGTTAAGTACAAGTTTTGATACTGTCAATCACAAGTAATAACAGTAAACTTCCATAAGAGACACTGTGAGGCCACACTTTAGATACAGGGTAAAAAGCAACACAGACGTTTCTAGTTTCCAAGAAGCGTCAAAAGCTCAATAACGCTGAAGTCAGCAACTTTGCCAGCTGCTGTTTGAATCTTTTGAGGTTTTTAACCCTTAATGTAACAGGCCTACCTCAGCAGGTGGCTCATTAGGCCTGAGCAGACGGAGAAACCATAAATTTTATTCTAACAGTTATCCGATGTACAGTACACAAAGTATTGACCTGCTCTATACAACTCGGCTTCAACTATCCCACCAAGTCTCTTCTATATACGGAACTAGTCTAAATTAAACCCATGAGAGAATGTGACCAATTAACTAATCAGTTAATACATCGCATCTGAACCTACTGTATAAACAATAAAGGCCTTAACAATCTCTAGTTATGGGTGAACTGATACCCATATTCTCACTACTGCTGGCCTGTCACAATGTAATATACTCTGTACTTTTTGTCTTTCATTTTATTTTTGTTGTAGGTTGTATTGTATAATACAGTGATTTGAGTCTCATGAAAGGAGCTCAGAAATAAAACTGTAATACTATTACAGAGAAATTAATCAAACTTTGTTAAAATTAAAAAATTATGTGGTGATTACTTCCTCAGAAGTGTTTGGAAAGCTTCTCCAAGCTTTAAAACAAATGTTAAATGGAAAAGATGCCTGTGTCATGACTAGACTGTCACCCCTCATCCAAATAATGGTGAAATAATCAATTTTACATGGCAGTGTTTGAACATTAAATTATGAGGTGTTTACTATTTTTCCCCAAGTAGTTTTAAATTTTCTGTGTCATTTTTTTTCCCCCACAGTGACGTTCCTGAGAATTACAAAGTGATCTTCCTTCAGGGCGGGGGCTGTGGTCAGTTCAGCGCTGTGCCCCTGAATCTGATTGGGCTGAAGGAGGACAGGTGTGCCGACTACATAGTCACAGGCAGCTGGTCTGCTAAGGCAGCAAAGGAGGCGGAGAAATATGGAAAAGTTAACATTGTCCACCCCAAACTGGAGAGCTACACAAGTATGTTAATTTGAAGAAATGTCCTAAAAATACATTCCTCATTTATTTATGCTCTCAGGAATTAAGAAACGCAACCCCAAAGTGTTCCCATTTCACAGTCCATCGCTGTTGAAGGATAGCTGTGTAGCATTAGGATTAAAATGAGATGAAATACTTGCAGCAAATATCTTTTCACTAATACAGTGGAAAAAGGTGACAAGTTCCATTTAAATTTTACACATCAAAAATAAAGCGAAAATGATCAAATTCAGCATTAGAGAAAATGTTTCCTTACTGTTTCTATCGGAAAGTTTGATTTTATTGAGATAACAGACACAGTGCCAAAATCTGACACTTCTGCACATACATTAACCTCTATGGGGAGTGATGGTATGAATAAAAATATAAATCTAACATTCTCATCAATTTATACTTCAGATCTATTACAGCCAAAATATTCTGCTTTTGCGCTCTGTTATCTGAATCATGACATTTTCTTTAAACTGATTTTTTTGAGCACCAGGGAAAATTTGGGGAAATGTTTTTTGTTGTTATCCTCCGATTCTGATGCAAAAAATGAGGATTTTTCATACTTTTACACTCCTGAAAACAGCTGATTGGTGATATACCTGTACAGTACTGGCCTCCTGCTGACAGGGTGCTGATAATCTGGAAATGGTCTTTCCTGACAAACTGTGGGGAAGTGTCATGTATTTCATTTCAAATTAAAAAAGTATGGACTGATTCTGAGTGTTTCACGATGATGGTTAAAAAAAGACCCAATGCTATTATCTAATATGTTCATTTTATCAATATACAGTATTGCATTAAAAAGTTTACTTTTCCCCACAGAGGTTCCAGACCCTGGCAGCTGGAACTTGAACCCTTCTGCCTCTTATGTGTACTACTGCTGCAACGAGACCGTCCATGGTGTGGAGTTCCGATCTGTCCCCGAGACAAAGGGCGTTCCCCTTGTGTGTGACATGTCATCCAATTTCTTATCCCAGCCTGTGGACGTATCAAAGGTATTGTCATTGCCCATCTTGAATCGGTATCATTTTTTACTGCTGCTTCATGTAGATAGTGGAAACTTTCTGGACATCTAATATTTCACACATTGATATTATTTTAGGGGTCAGCAAGGCAGCGCGGTGATTAGCAGTCAAGGTTCAACATGGCAGGTCTTGTTTTTATATGTTTGACCAGTAGTTTGTTGGAGTTCAGCCTGTATTCGCCACTATAACAATGTACTGTATCATCCACTTAATGTTGAATATTATTAACAAAGGTAGAGGTAAATGTAATAGATTACAAGCAGCCTGAGCTAGAGTTTCTAAAGACAAAGTGAACAACAAAGTTTAAAGTGCATATACCTGACAAGTCATTCTTGATATACCATAATGGGAAGATCACTTGTTTCCTGTTAATACAGTACCTTTGCTGAAGGGATGGTCTATAATTGCTTTACCATATCGATGAAACCTGAGTCCAAGCCCATATAATCCACAACTGACCAGAGGTGTTTCTACTGGAGCTGATCAAATGCCTTTCCCTGCCTGTAATGAAAGAGCAGTCAGTTGAAATGTTATCAGGGGCTGGGTACTTTTTAATAAAGCCTGTATCATCATGGTGAATTAATATATTACAGAGACCTCCAGCTTTCATAGTTCTACCTTAGCATATATCTTGCTGATTTTCTAGGACACCAAGACAGGTTGATAAGTCACAGAAAGTATGGGATCTTTATCCTTTATTAATCAGCAGACTATGATGATAATAACATCCCTACAATAAGGACCTCCTTCAAGGGCCACATGTATCATGTCAAGGAAAGGGGTTTCTTATTGGGGACAAAATATCAGATAAGATTCAAGAGGGATGCCATCAATACCAGGAGATTTACCCTTTGTCATGTTTTAAAACCGCCTCATCAACTAATTCAGCTCAGACACGGATATAGACACGAGGGACACTAAATAGCCTATAATGATAAATCCATTTCCAACTATACGTAAATCTCTTAAGATGCTGATGCTGCATTCCAGAAAAGCAAAGCACTCGGAGAGATCATTAAAACCTCATCCTAATAGCAATGTGTTCCTGAAATCATGATTTACCTGCGCTTGATATAGGAGCATGTCAGTGAGCTCATAGCTGTAAAATGGATACACATGATGCAGTACCTTAGTTATTTTATGAAAATAAAGAACTGCAACCAATATCAACTGGATGCACATCAGCCCCCCCTTGTCTTATAATCTACATTGTAGCATTAATATTGACACTTGGAAAGATGACATAAAAATATTTTAACTTGTTTTGGAGACCACATTAGTGCATGGCTGTCCTTTATACATCCGGTCTTTAGGACATTAGGACAAACATTCAAGCTTTTATGTTTTTCATTTGGCATTGAGAGAAGTTTGTAACATAAGTGATATTCTGAAATTATCTTTTCAAGTAATGATAATGGAATTTGTGTTCTCAAAGCCATTATTGTATTCCATTAAAGTGGTCTTTGAAAATTTTTTGAACCTGTTCTTTGATCTTCCTGCCTCATTCACTGTATAGTCTTTGTGCTTTCCTCCGATGTCACCAGAAAAAAGTGTAGTGAAACTCTGCCCTAGCCCTTACTGCAGAGCTTGATGACCCAGCAAGGCCAAACAGTACTGTATATTTTATATTATGTAATGTTGAATCTCATGAGCCCACCTCTCTTGTGTAGTACAAACATTATCTTTGTCTTTAAAGTTTAAACCATTACTGTTAAGTAAAAGTGCAATTTTCACATATCGGTTAAATGTTTAAACATTTGACCTATTCCATCGGTAATCGCCTGTGGCAGTGCTGTCTCTGCAGGACAAAAGCGTTTCTAGTGAGATCATTGCTGTAGAAAGCTCTGTGTTTGCAGCTGACCTGTTCCAAAGAGATGGGAGAAACCTCTTAAACTTGCCCTGAATGGACTGGCTGTTTGAGCTATGGAGTAGCCACCTGTGCATCTGAGCTGCCATTGCCTCAGTGTGGGACGTCAGCACTGCCATCGCCATTTTCACAAGCTTGTGTTTGCTGAGCCTCAAGCTGCTGAAGCAGAACAGGCCTGTTTGCCGATTTATGAGAGTCCAGTTTATTCGTATTTGGGGAGAGGTCCAGACTTTTCAGAGCCACCGCCAACTTAGGCAGCATCCCAAAATAAATAAAAAATAACTTACTGGACACAACAACAGAAACAAGAAGACAGGAGGGGAGACGGGAGCTTAAGGCTTAGCTTTCCATTGCGCATCTGCACATCTCCTGCAGACATTGATTCTTAAGAATCACCAGAAGAATTTATTAGCAAGCAGTCATTAAACTGAAAGAACTATGTCGCTGATCGCTGATCGCCGATCGCTGAAAACCAAAACTTTTTTCTCTTTATCCTCTCTCTCATACAAATAAAAGAAAACGCACAAACTTCCACAACATGACAATTTTCTCTTTTTTTGTGAACTAAACAGTTCTATACACATATAATACCGGTTTGGCTCTGTTACTGATTTTTATTTATTTATTTTTGTTCCCCTGCAGTTTGGCCTGATCTTTGCTGGTGCCCAGAAGAATGTGGGCTGTGCTGGGGTTACGGTGGTGATTGTCCGGGATGACCTTCTAGGAAAGGCGCTGAAAGAGTGTCCCGTCATTCTTGACTACCAAGTGCAGGCGGGGAATAACTCTGTGTACAACACTCCGCCGTGCTTTAGGTAATAAGAATTGATCGTACCTCAGCATTAAACTTTCAAAGAGATGTAATAACAGTAAAACAATCTTTGTTCCACCTTACAACATTTTTGGTGTTTCCACTTCACCAGTAGCAACTGCCATTACCTATCCCACTCTACCATGTAGTTTCTGTTACGTCAAGGCACTTTGTAGGGCTTTTTAGTGTTATAAACTGCTGTCGCTTTTTTCCCTAAAGATGTTTGTTAGTTTTAAATACAACTGTGGTGCATGACTTCAGTCCTGCAGGGCTGCAGGTTTTCATTCCACATCTGCTTTCAGCAGCCTAATTCAGCTAATCATTTGCTTCAGTGGACCAATTAAACACTTTCCGAAGGTCTGCAGCTGTTGACAAATTAAAGAGATCTAAAATACCTGGTGAACTCTAGCCCTCAAGGACTGGAACTGTGTACCTGTGTGTGAAACTGTAATTTACTGTCTTGAACTATGTCTTGTGGTTTTCATCACTAATGAGACTTTTTGAGTGTTATATTTTTAGAAATATGGCAAATAGTATGCTTTTAGCTTGGTTTAAAATTGTTGTTTGGCTTTTCTAAAAACTCCTTATTTTTTATCCGTTATTGCAGACCCAAACTGCAATACTGCAGTAACCTCACACTACTATTTAAAAACTAAAACAGTATTAAAAGCTACCAGCCCCAGTATACAGTTCTGTGTAAGAGCCTGATGAACCAAACTAACAGCTCAGCTAGAATGAAAACCAGAAGACATAATGTAGGGTTACTCCAGGATTTGGATTGGGGAAACTTTGAAAAAGAATATATTAAACTAAGTATTGCTAATGGGGGGGGGGGGGCATTTAAGAGCTAAAACCTTTTTACAAATTAATAGATGAGTTAATGTTGTACAATGAAAAAATAATTACTGAGGTGTCTCATCAGTTCATGATTTGTAAGTAAGACTCTGGTGCTTTAATCATTATATTGCTGTTAGATTGAGCTCTTCATGTTCGTAGCCATTTCTGTTGAATAATGTCACTGTTAAAACACTTGTGAAATGCCTTCTTTTTTGTTTACTGTAGTATCTACATTATGGGACTGGTTCTAGAATGGATAAAGAACAATGGAAGTACTACAGCCATGGAGAAATTGAGCAAGGAAAAATCAGAAATGATCTATGACATCATTGATCAATCCAATGGATTCTATTTGTAAGTATTTTAGTAATTGTATGAGCTGTGCTAATATAAATCACACTGCTCTTAACAATGTGCACCACAACACCCTTATTTTTAAATTGGGTTTGTAGCCATTGCCCGGTTTATGTGCTTGGAAAACCTTATTTTGATGTCCTCTGCTAGCTGAGTCTAAATCTAAAAAACAATTTCTCTATTTCCAATGTAAAGCTGTCCTGTTGAAGTGGCAAGCAGAAGCCGAATGAATGTCACATTCCGTGTGGGGATAAAGGATGGAGATGAAGCTCTTGAAAAGAAGTTTGTGGATGAAGCTTCCAGGCTTGGTATGATTTCACTTAAAGGTCACAGGTACGTATTGTTAATACAATATTAATTACATTTAATGCAATCCACTATATTCTTATTCTTTCCAATAAGAGTTAGTTATTTCCATTATTTAATTGTAAATCATAACCACAGTGAAATGTTGGAAATCTGGTGAGATACTTGAGATGATTTTAATTTGAGAACTAAATATTTAAGAAACCTTGTGAATTCACTTTGTATTTGTAATTAAACTGTTCTAAAGAGACTGTATTCCACTCTTACACATCTTGATGTTTTATGAAGCCTAGCATGAAAAATACTTCATTCACTTAAATAAAATGGTATTATAGTATGTCATAGAAAGCAATTTGCTGAAAAAGCTGACTTTTTTTTTTTTTTAGTCCTGGAATATTTGATATGTAGTCAGTAAATATTTGATTTTTAAGTTATGATATGAAGTTACGGATCTTTATTTAGACTTGACACAGATGACAAGAAATAAACTCTCCAGTGACACAACTTACAGTAATTTAAACAAGGAACCTGTGAGAGAGAATTTAAAATTAATGCTTCTTCAGTTCCTGACATTTGCTGTTTATCAGGCCATTCTTGGATTAGTTTCAGTCAACTACTGTTGAAGGATCACTGTTCTCTTTGATCACTCTGAACAAAACATTTCTGAGTTAGGTACACAAGTAACTAACATGACCCTAAGGATGTCTCTTGCAGTATTGGAGAAGCTCATGACTTTAAAAGCTGGGGTCCTATAAAACACTGCTTGCAGATTTTAATTGAACCCATAGACAGACCTTGGCATGCACTAATGTTGCATTTCTTTTTCATATTTTTGATTAATGATTATATTTGAGGTGGAGAGCCAAGCTCATGTCTGCAAATTTAATTATAAATGAATAAGGAAATAATTATTGTATTCTTTGTGTTCCAGGTCTGTTGGAGGAATCCGAGCCTCTCTCTATAATGCTATCACAGTAGATGAAACAAAAATGCTGGCGAACTTCATGAAAGAGTTTATGAAAACACACCATTAGAAGATGGTGTGATTAGCTGCTCATGCAAAAGTACTTGTTGATTAGTTAGTTATGTACTGTACAGACCTTCATATTAAAGCCATAGTTTAATATTAATAGAGAAGATCTAACTTCCATTTGAGATTGATTTGGAGCATAAAGAAAGCAGGCATCAAATACTGATGCTTAATACTTGTATTGCAGGTTTATTGACATAAACCCTGCAGAATTTTGCATTAAAAGTACCTTAGTAACCTAACTGTTGTTACTTACATTCCAGTTTGTTTACAGAAATTTCTAATATAGTTGTTGTTCTGAGTTAACAGACATTTGGCTTACTACCCCTATGGTGCTTATATTGTTATGTTTTCCTGTACTTTAAACAAAAAATACTGTATAATGTAAATAGAAAAACTTTTTGTCAGACAAAAGGGTCAGTCTTACCATCAGTGCATGAGACTAAAAATAGTTAAATGTAAATCAGTGTTTTTACGGTTTTTAATATTTAAAAACACTATAATCTTGGAAATATGTTTGTTTTAACTTTTCAAATGACATTTATGTGTTAGTTATTGATTCAGATAAGGTTAAAAACTAACTTAACCAAAACTTTGATCACAAAATATACTTAAAATATTTTAAGTCTTGTTGAGACATGTTTTCATTGCAAAAAGAGCACTTTCAATCAGACTAAAAAGTGTGGAAGATTTTAAGTTGTTGAATATGGACCTTACATAAAGAAACGACCAACAAATCTTTCTTAATTTAGAACTTGTTACAATTAAAAATATTTGTGAGTACTTAGCTCTGAGTTTATTCATTTTCTTTGTGTTTCTGATTATCTACATGTGACTGTTTTGAGTAATAGGTAAATTATGTCTGTTATACAATTATAATCGCCCTTTGATACTTCAATGTTGTTGTGATATGGAGTTCCTCGCTTAAAAATATTTCCTCCCAGTTAAATTGAAGAGCTTTTCATTTTATTGGTTTTCTAACCTACCACACTACTCATGCTCCCATGCTGACCTGGGACTTCACAGAAGAATTTGACTTAATGTGAAAACAGCACTTTTCATACTGTAAGTAAAGAAGCACTGAAATGCTGAGGGTGAAGACAAACGTGAGGGAAGTCATGACATTCCTGCTGTACATCACAGTCAGGCAGGTGCTCGGTCAGCCACAGAAGCCTTTGTTGACCGAAGAATCCATGTACTATACCACACCTTGTAGCACAGCACTTAATCTAGGAGCTACTGTACCCCTGTGAACTCTTGAGAACAGACAGCGAGTGGGACAGTCTCATACTGTATTACAGTTTCCAATATGTTGGGGGTGTCCTTGCACTCCTAGGAAATTATTTCATAACTCGCTGTGTTACTTGAAAGATGCAATTTTGTAATGTATTGCACCCATTTATTTATTCCTCCACCTTCATCCATTCATCCATTTACAATGACATTGTTGGATTTAGTTGGAGCTATGAATTGAACTAACTCTCGTTTTTACTGTCTTCTGTGCTCTGCCTCTGTCTTCCTCTCTCACTGTAAAAAGGAGTGTCAAAAAAGAGAGTGGAGAGTCTCTACTAGAACCACAGTGGCTCATTGGACCAAAAGTCATCCTGCTTTCTGCAGCTTTATATGGACTAGAGAAAATTTCATTCCGCCTTTGGATGGGACACTGATCCATCATATGGATTAATCCCAAACAGAGCTGCGCTCGTACAGCTGGGTTGGCTGGAAACTTGCATAAGGGAGAGGGGCAACTGTGAAAATAGCACAAAACAGTGACATAATTTCACTCTAGGCTAGGGTCCAAAACAGTGGGTACTGCAAAAGATTGGCTGTTCAAAGTTCTCCTCACCAGCATTATTAAGAAACCAGAAATTCTTAACAGTGCAGATACGGAGTCCTGCTTGTTGGTTCTAAATAGGATAACATTCAAAATTCACATGACTTTTGATCATGGTGGGAATGTCATTCCCATCATTTACATCTGCTTTCTACATTGCATGAATTCAACTAATTCTGCTACTCTGTTGTACCAGGTAACTAGCTTCTCTTTGCATGAAAGCATTTTTTGTTTGTTGTGAACCAAGCTTTTAGCTACTAAACATAATACAAGTAAAATGGTTTGATGATCTCTTCTCTTTAGTATACTTTACATTTCTCTAATGTGTTTACTTGTTTACGGCATGCCTTGCAACTATTCAGACCCTTGCAGAGCTTTCAAACTAAAAGCTGGTTTGTAATTATGACACTTTTCAAGTAACAATATTTGTGATATATGAAACCTACTCCTCAGCAAAAAAAAAATGATATTGAAGAAGAACTGAAAAGCTTCAAGTCAAGGAAAGGTGAAGACATCCTGTAGCCACTATAAGATACTGAAAATGTGGCAGGAGGTTTTTTGGTCACTCAACCGTAGACTAAAAGGTTTTGGTCTAATTGCAAAACATATCTGATTAAAGCCCAATACATTGCAGTCAGCAGCATAAATGCTTTTAAGCACAGTGTAAGCAGCATTGTGTTATGGGGCTGTTTCTCATCATCAGGGGCTGGCAGGTTTCTCAAGATGCAGGGGAAGGTAGGTGGACCAGAGTACAGGCAAATCTTAGAGGCAACTGTGATGGAGAGTGCTGAGGATCCAACACTGGGTTGCAAATTTGCCTTCCGGCAGGCCAGTGAGTGACCCAAAGCTCTGGCACTGATGTGGCCTGATAAGAGAATGTCCTCAAGTGGCCCAGTCAAAATCCTGACTTGAATCCTATTGGGAACCTGAAAAAAAACTTGGAACTGCTGTCCATAAACAGCCCCCAAGCGATTTCAGAGAGTCTGATGAAATCTGCCAAGACAAATGTGCATGAAGTGCACCAAGCCGGTGTGCAAAGTTAGGAGTGACTTGTGCAGAAAGCCTGCAGCTGTAGTTGTTGGAAAAAGCTCTTTCACCGAATATTGAGTTCACAGATCTGTTCATTATTGTTATCCTGACATTACAGGTATTAGAAAAAGCAAACTACATTAAGACTTAAAATGTGACATGTGTATGATATCCAACTGTTAGAGTATAATTTACCAATACATAATGAATCTGTTTGTTTCCCTTTTTTTCTGTATTAAAGAATTAAAGAAGATTGTACCATAGTATTTCAAGTTCTGGCGAATTGAAGTGATGTTCTGGGATAAGCTTCCATTATTTTTGGTCTTTACAGTCTCTGAACACAAGGTGGTGCTAAAGACTTAACAACCAGCTGAACTTAAAATTATTTGAAAACAATTCGGAAAACCAATAAAAAAAAGACACCTCAGCCCCAACACAAAAACGAAGCATATCAAAATCTTAAAAATTCATTATATAAACATATATTTATAAAGGTATGTATTATTACAGAATCTTTATAATATAAATATGATTCACTATATATATATTCGGTTTGGCTAATTAAGAAAAAGAAAATCTCAGTTCCTACGCATCATACAATTATATAAGATTCTTTGTTCCCCGTATTGTAACATACACTTTGTATTTGGATTCAGTTCAGGAAACAGTTTATCTTTATTTCTCTCTCCATTTCCTTCTTAATACTAATTATTTGCTTCACCATGCTCTCAATGCCCAGATCTCCCTTAACTGGCATGTAAATGGGGTTGTGACAGTTTAAGATCTGTTTGAAAATAACATTTTTATGTCATTTGAACAATTAAGAATGAAATATTATCTACCGCAATCTATTTTTTTCAAAGTAAGGCAGTAAGGCAAGTAAGGCACTTTATACATACTCAGTTCAGCCTTCACCTCCCAACAAAAACTGACATAGATTATCTTCTCAAACTCACACTTGATGGAGGTCTAATATCTTTTATATCTACATAATATCTGAGGTCTAAGATTTCTTCATTGTTTCTTTCACTATGTTGTCCATTTTTGTCCATAGTTAAAATTTTGTGGGAACAAAACCTGGACAAGGTTATACAAAAGGGCTAGTGGGAGTCCAATTTAATCCAGTTCACTCTTCTTCCATCTGTGCTAGGCCCCATACAGTTTAAAATTATACATGTCTAAATCTAAACTTGCTACACCTTTTCCTAATTTATTCCCCATATTTGACATTTTGGTTTTGGTCTTGTCCTAAGTTGGCAACCATTTCTGAGCTATTCTGAGACTTTGAGCCTCCCTTCTGCACTCTAGATCTGCATCTGTCACTAATCGGCTATTCTGATGATACAGTACCTGTTAGGACTTGCCTTCCAGTGTTTTCCTTCCTAGAGACTTAGTGGAATGAGTATGTTGGTATCCTCTTTTTCGTGTCCTCTGTCTTTTCCCCTTTTAGCTGTACTCATTTTAGTAAGGGAAGATTTGGGATTTTTGTAAGAGAAGTAGGAAGGGAACAGGAAATTCTGCATTTTTCTTTTTCATTAATTACTGTCAGATTACACAGTGTAACTGTACCAATGATTTGCATGTTCTGTAACATTAATATGTAATTTATAATGTTAAGAATATAACTTATTGTGTTTAGAAAACAATAAAAATACTTGTTAAAAAAATCAATGTTGCTAACTGTTCAATCTAAATCTATCAATTATTAAATACTGTAAGAGAAAAAAACAACACTGGACCGTACAATATGGTTATTATATCAGTTCACAGTGAATCTGGTCTAGTTGTAGTTTAGTTATTCAAAACATCTATAAAGATAAAATAACTGAAATGATTCTCTTCGTTGTTTCAGCACGACACTTCCTTCATATATATTTAATGTAATTAGTTTATTTTCTAAGCATGCAAGTCACTTCTAATAGCCAATTAAGCCCAGATGTAAAATGCCCTTGCAAGGTCCACAACGGATTTTCAGAAGAAACATTCCTCATATTCAGGTTTTCCAGAAACAGGTTTTACAAATCTTTGGTAACTGTGATATCAATCTGAATCTGTAATTAAATAGCAATTCACATTGACTTTTTAAATAATTAAAATGTAATTATCCGTCTCTGTCCGCCTATCTGTGCCTGTCGTCTGTATACTAAGAATGTTGTAAGAGATAAAAACCTTCAAATTTAATTTCAGTGTTCAATTTACTATCTTTGTATAGTATCTGCTCAAAGGCAAGCTAAATTACTTTCTACTAACTGTTACCTTTGTGAATTCCTGTGCAGTGTATTCAAGTGAACAAACTGTATGAACCGTGAGATCTGGGAGAACAGATGTCACGAGGAGAGGATGGCTTTATGAAAACAGGCTTGTTTACAAACAATAATAATTAAGTGAATAAGAAGGCAATAGCTGGATGTTCCCCAGTGGGCCATTCATCACCTGGTTTATAGCCCCGCACAGCTGAGGAAGGTGAGGTAGTTTCTTATCATTGCATTAAGTGAGATCTAATTGTGTCTGCTCTGTCTGCTGGCAGATGTGGTTTCTACATAACAACAGCTCTGAGCCCGAGCTGCCTGATTAATGCCTCCAGCTGTCATATGTCCCATTATCTGCACATTTGCATAACTTAATGGTTCAGGACAGGGAAGAGAGGATGCTTAATTTAATGTTTAGCAGGCCCTTGATAGCTGAATAATTCAAGAACTGTCAAGGGAGGTCAGTCCTACAGCAATCCAGCAAGGCGGTTATGATTTCTGCTTATCGCTGAAATTCTAGCAGGAGGTTAGTGGCAAAATAACAAAGCAGTATATGTGTAACAGGGAGTCTATATTTTCATTACCTCTGGGCAGGATTGAAGGGCCTTAGGGGAGAGTCAGGAAAAGCTTTAAGAGAAAAATACTCTAAATCAACACAAAAACAAGAATACCTAC